AGAATTCCTCTTTTTAAATATCACCCTGAGCTACAGGCCTCACTAGTGTGCAATTTCCCAGGAAACATCAGTGCAGAACCACTCAGCAAGTTTTGCTATTGATTACAATAGGATCAGGGCTTGGAGTACAACAACTACTAGCTTTAATCGTCAGCTAGGAGTCTGATCAGTGCCCTAGCTGGATCAGGAGAGACAGCAGCACCTCTGTGCTCTACCAAAAGTGTTTTGATGAGCTTAGCTTCCCAGCAGTTACCATATACCATCTAGTGATACCAAAGGAAACCATAATTTGTAATTCATTAATCTTTAAATGAAACATATAGTAGGCATTTTGCATTCCTTCTACTAAAATAAAAGGTAGTCATATGTGCTATCTCCTATGACTAATATTTTCCATTTCTCAAGAATCTTGACATGTATTAGTTTTTGAAAGGATTCAGCTTCTGAAGATGTATGATTATATAAGAATATCAGCTTTAATTAAAGTTAAAACAAAGTTTCTGCCTTATAGCTAGAGAATTACATACAAAATTATAATCTTAGAGATGTAAAACTCAGGGACTAAATTTAAAGAAACCCAAAACCTAACCTTACTATTTTTTAAAACTTCAAGATTTTGAAGATCCTGCATCATGTTTTTTTTAAATACTAAGTTAATAGTGTCTGTTGATGGGGAGGAAGTCAGAGAGAGAGAGAGAGAGAGAGAGAGAGAGAGATGATTCTGACAGCTGGGATAACGGCAGAAGACAATGTTTACTTACCAGCAGAAGAAAATTTTACCTTGCCTGCCAACTGGGGCAATAAAACAAATTTGTTTTGCATGCTATGTGGAATTTTACTGCCACTAAATGAAAGCAAAACCATCAAGATTTTTTCCTGGGAGTTTGCAGACAGAAAGGGTACTGATCCAATGAAAGCCACAGACCAAAAGAACTGAGGAACACAATTCACCCTCACCTCTTCTCTTTTCCCAGTTCTCCTCCTCAGCACTATTCAACTTTCTATTTGTAAAGCCAAATGGGATTTTCAGCACAGACCTAAACAGCACAGACCTCCGAAAACTGTTACACAGAAGTGTATTTGGCACTGGTTGCTACATATCTAGGTTATGTAAGCAAAATACAGACATTACATGAAGTACACTAGTTGGATTTTCATAGGCCAATTGTCGCCTTAACACTTTGTTTTCAACCTACAAATAGTGACTAGAAATCAGTTTAGCTACAACTCAGCAAGACTGTAAGTGTAGATGGATGAGGCAGACATGAATTTGCATAGTTTCAGTCAAAGTGAAAAACTACTTGTAAACCCAAGACTATACTTTGGACTCGTGTTGATCAACCTACAAGTCTGCCAGGCCCTTTTGCACATCACCAGAACTGCAATTGCAATTCAAAGCAAATGTAATTTTGTCTCACTGATAGCATCTTGGGCACTGCTTTTACACCATTTGCCAGTGAATGCTCTAGAGGGCCAGGACTGTCAGGTGCCAGGGCGAGCAAATGACAGCGATAGTCTAATATTGGCTTCACACAAGAGAATTCTCTGCCTAGCTGAACTGGCTGTGGGCCACTTTGTACTGTAAGCATGCTTAAAACTTGTAGGACAAGGGACAAGCTTGTGTCACTGGCTGTAAAAACTAAATATATAATTAAAAAATATTCTAGAAATTGTCCATGTATTAGTCAATCTTCAATGCCACGAAAAATAAAAAAAAAAAATCACCTTAATGAAAATGCTAATGTAACATGGGGATTCCGTGTTAGGCAATAGCTTAGAGGAAAGGAAAGCACCGAGTGATAAGCAATAGCAGTTCATAAAGCAAATACGTTATTTAAACAAGACCAGGATTCGCTTTTAATGTAATGACAGATTCGGAGCTCAGTCTTCTACCCCTCCGCTGGCTGCTAGCGCAAAACAGCCAAAAGTACGTTTGGACCTCAGTGGCACATTGCCAACTTTACATCTTTCTCTGTTCAGCACAGAGGGTGCGTTGAAGGTGCAGAAATGTGGAATGGGGGGAATGACACCACACATCATACGCTCCTTCACTGCTAGTGCAACTTGGAGCAGTTCTGAGGTTCTCCTCACTAACTCCCAAATCACAGCAGAAGGAAACTGTTTTCTCCTGTCTCTCCTAAACTGTGGAAGTGCAGTGAGGATTGAGACCTTAGTGACTATAACACATTGTCATATCAGCAATTCTATACAGTATCACATACTTTTGAAGAAGCTGGAAAAATACTGGATAAATAGAGACACTGAAACACTGAAATATGGATCAACAGTTGTCCATTGTCAAAGTATCTTCAAAAAATTAGTGGTGGAACCTTAGAAATTTAACAGGGGAAGTGGTGTCTTTTAAGGATTAGTCTGCTCAGCCTTTACTTTTCCATCCACTGTACTCATAAATAATTTAGTGGCAAGCACCAGACATCAATTCCAGACTGATTACATTGTAGATAACGGCAAAAAAAAAAAAAAAAAAAAGAGAGAGTGCAGAACTGCAAAGCAAGCAGAAGCAGACAGATATAGCTGAGGTGGTTTCAGTTATAACAGACAGGTATAAACTAATACATGGTTGGAAAAACATCTTTGGAATACATGGGATGTTTTCATGCCAAAAGCAGTAGTACAGAAAAAGACGGGCAAAAAATACATATTCTGACTGAAATAGAAGTCAATAATAGCAATTGATAATAGCGCAGGTAAAATTTTAGGAGGGATAATCTTAACAGATCTTAAGCAGATCATTTTTGATCCCCTTATTCCAATCTATTCAACTAGGTACTTTTGTTTATCTCTTTAGGCCAGCAGCATGTAATGCACTTAACTCTTTGGTTACTGCCTTTGGCACAACGTGATATTTACTTTAACTACTATGCTTGCTCCATAATTCATGCAAGCATAAAGTAAAATTTTGCATTCATTAGTGCACTTTCTCAAATTGACCTGCAGCTGCAGTAAGCTGTCATGAACCTATCAAAACGCACCTATGGATTTTCTTTTTTAAAAGTACAGTTTTCCGAGATGCTTCTTCTCTTATGAACCTGAATGCAATGAGAGTAGCTTTGCTTCAACTCTTTAGATCCCTTAAGAATCCAGACTTACTCTCCTTTTTTAGGTCAGATTCCAATTGAAACCAATGGGAATTTGACCTCAGTAACTTCAACAGGATCAAGGTCTGGCTAGTCAAAGGATTAAGCCTATTGTTGCTGAACAAACTCACTGCCAAAAGGTTTTATTTTCTTTTTTTTTAAACCTCTATTATTTGACTCAGCCTCACAAGGTCCTCCTTAAATAGCAGTACAGGTTGCCACATAAACGTGTCCTTGAATACAATTATGTCACTTCTGTTAAATGCAGTGCTAATTATAGACTCCTAAGAGTTTGGTGGTTTAAAAAATACACTTTTTTTTAGTATTCCAGATTAAATTTAGAATTTAATACTCTTAGATTTTTGATCTTTGTTATGTTCTCTGGTGTCTGTGACTTCTGGGAGTTGAAGTATCATCCAAAACCGCAGCCAAACACCACTTCCAGGTGTTCTACCAAGCTCTGACTACCTAAGTTCCCGCATTTTGTCAGTTCTGCCTCCGCGCGCAGCGACTGCTTTGACACACAGCCCCTGATCCCCTCAAAACGAATACCGTTCCAACTTAAAGGACGTGTGGATTATCTCCTCTCACCAAGGTTCAGTTGCTTGCTGCGGGCAACAATTCCTGAGGGATTATTTTTGCAGGCCAGCCCCTCGCACTTAGGCCCGGGCCAGGCCACAGAGGAGCACCCACCCGCGTCTAGCAGGTCCCGTGCTACCTGCCGCAGACCCTCGCCGCAGAGCAGCCGGCCCACCGCCCAGGGCGCTGCCTGCGGCGCA